GCCTGCAGCAGGCTCACCACAAAACCACATGTGGGTGGTTATCAGCTGTGCTCCCTGCGTGACCTGACAAGCCCCTTCCTCTCCCTGAGACGTGCCTTCCCTGTCTGTGAAGTGCATGGCCGAGTCAGGTGCTGAATGTTCAGGAAGGTTGGGGCTCCTTGAGATGGGGGAGCCAGGGGGATAAAGCTGTTTTGATACTCAGGGGCACGGGGGAATTGAGCCAACCCTTCAGGGCAGGCCACCGATGAGAACCCCCTTGCAGGCTTCCTAAGGGCTGCCCAGCAGTGCGGGTCGCATGCTCGTGGCCACCACTCTGGAACTGCTGCTCCTCAAAGTGCCCTGTGGGAGCTGCTGAAGAGAAGGGGGGCCATACTATGTAACCCCAGCTGCAGCCTCAGGACCCTGTCTGCCTGCCTGCTGCCAACAACCCCAGCCCCCTCCTCTGTTCCAGGCTGGCTTTCTCCGGAGGTAGAGGAACAAGCAGCTGCCTCTCAGTGCCTCCCAGTGCCTCCCAGGCCCAGGGCGTTCAGGACTGTGGGTTACAGCGTGCAAATCTGTAAGCTGCTGCCCCTTAGGTGGCTTTGGGGCGGGGTGGAGGTGGGGCAGCCCAGATTCTGCGCTCTGAGCCACGATTCGTCGCTCTGCTGCCTCTGCCCTCAACTTGCATGAGATCTTGAAGAACGTTTTGGGGTGAGTGCTGGGAGCTGGAGGAGCAGGGTGCCCGCCCCACCCCGCCACATGCATAGACTCCGACAACACCCGTGACCAGAGGGCAGGGGGAGAGGAGGCAGGACAGTAGCCGGGGCGGTGACTGGGCTTCCTCACAGCCCCGACGGGGCACTGCTGTTCCCAAAGCCGCCTCGTTGCCTGGCAGTGTCAGAGGCTGCTGGGGCTTGGCGAGGGTGGTGGGGAGACAGCCACGATGGCGAGAAGGCTGTGGCCAGTCAAAGAGCCCCCTTCCGCCTTCACTGAAAGTCTGCAGGCCTTTCCTGAGAGCCCCGTCGGCGCCGCTCAGGTGCTCACGGAGGACGCTGCATGGCCTCTGCCCATCGCTCCTCCCAGACTCGCTGCAGCGAGAAAGCAGGGCAGCTCGAGCAGAGGCATGAGCGCAGAACTGCCACGCTCGGGAGGGAGGAGACGGCGTGGTAGGGGCTGTCTGCCCACCGCTGGCCTTCCAAAGCCCCGGAGCCCAGCCCCAGGATGCCAGGCCACTGCAGTGACCAGGGCTCAGACTGGCCTGCCACGCTAGGGCGTGTCCTGCCTGCAGGATGAATAAACAGATGTTAGAGGAGGACAAGCATTTGAGGTAAGAGAACAGCACGTACAAAGGCCCTGAGGCAGAAAGAGCTTGGTTTCCTTAGGGGTCTGACTGAGGGCCAGTGTGGCTGGACTGTGTGAGTGATGGGGAGGTGGGGAGATGGGGTTGAAGGAAGGGCCTGAACACATAGGGCCCTAGGTCGTGGTGCCAAGCTTCTGTTTTATTCTAGGTGTGATAGAGAGTCACTGGAAAGTTTTCAGCAGAGGGGCGGATGACATGGTCCGACTGGAGTGGAAAGTGCATGGGGGGGGGTTGCTGAAAGTAAAAAGAATACGTGAATCAAGAGACATTGCAGGACCAGCCCTGTGCTCCTTGTGGAAGGCAGCTGGGTCCCATGTGGCCGATCACATGGTTTGAAATCCAGGCTTGGTGGCTTGAAAAACACGCTGGGTCCATGGGTCTGAGTGCCCAGATCCCGAAAGGAGAGAGGCAGGAAGGAGTCGTTTTCTCCCGTCTCTGTCTGTCTCTCTCTGGTGAGCACACATGCCCTCTGGCAAATTAAAACAAATAAATAAATAAAGAGGACTTGTGGAGAGAGAAGAGAGAAGGTCGCTGTGGCCAGGTGGGGTTCCCGGGGCGACGTGGGGAAGAAGGGAGCTTTGGGGCACAGTGGGGTATGGCTTGGACGGAGGTGATGGGGCACACAGTTCCTGTGGTGCTGAAGAACTGTGCAGTGGCAGGAACGGGGGGGCGGGGCCCGATGGAGTGAGCGCTGTTGGAGGGGGCTAGCGGCTGACCTGGGCTCAGTGGCCGAGGATGGTGGCTAGTGACACAGCAGGCAGAGGCCAGGGAGCCGGCCGGTCATCCCACGGTGGTCAAAGCTCTCAGAGACAAGTTGTAATATTGGGTGACATTTTGTGTCATGAGTTTTTGGGCGACCCAATAGAAAAGTCGGAAATACCCCAGATGCCCAACTATTCAGGTGGTTTGGTAAATTAAGGCTGATCCACAGGCAGAATGATCCCCAGCCGCTGCCGTAGCCCACACACGCCGGGCCGTGTGGAGAGGCGTTTCCGATGTCCTCACTGCCACGTGGGACAGACGCTCCCCACTGTCAGGAATGGCTGGCTCCTTTGGTCCAAACACTTTTGATCAAAACCCAAGGTACAGGTAGAAGAGACAGGTGCCCTGGCTGCCAGCGCTGGCTCAGCAGCCAAACTGAGAAAGAGAACATCTCGGCTGGCTCAGTGGCACAGCAGTAATGCCCTGCCCAAGCAATGCTGGATCCATACGGAAGGTCACAGGTTCAACTCCCCGGCTGACCTAAAGGAGCCATGTATAACCTGGCGGCTGGGGAGCCTGGAAGGCAATGGTGGCGTGAGACCCTGTTGATGGTGCTTGTCTTTCTCTCTTTCTCTCTCACCCTCATGAAAGAAAGAAAGGAAATTTTCAAAAGAAAAGAGAAGTAGAATCTCAGCAACTCCCAGAAACGCCCTGGCGTGCTCTGTCCCTACAGCGTTCTGCAGATGGGCCCACTGTCTTGACCACACCTGCTTGATTTGTGCTCTGATCCTTATTTAATTTGAAATTTTAAATAATTTACACAAGTGTTACATAATATTGTCTCCTTGTTGACCAAGGAGAGTTTGACGTAGGGTTTCAGAACAACAAACTACACATTTTTCTTTTCTTTTCTTTTAGGTTTTTGTTATAGGGCACATGAGCTCGCCAGACAGAGACAGAGAGAGAGAGAGAAAGTGAGAAATCGACCCCCTGGGGGATGGCCACATGGCAGTCCCTTCTCCTCCCTTCTTCTCTCAGGAATTTGGGCATGCACGCACGTGCCCAGCATGATTGTCAAGCCACCAGGTCTGGGACTTGAACTGTGGTCAGCCATGTGGGGAGTCCAACACCTTGAACATCATGCCAACCCACTGGCCAACACCCCCCCCCAATTGTTTAAATGTGGTTAAAATGATGTCTTTGGAAAGTTAAGTGGGAGATGGTGGGCTTAGTGCATTGGGGCCATGCCCAGCATTGACTTCGGGTTAAGGATGAAAGGCCCCCGAGGGGCTGGTGTCCTCTGCCTGCAGAAGACAAGCTCTCCCTCTCAGCCTCACCCCACCCTAGCTCCGAGTCTCCTGGTACCCTTGGGTGCCTCACGCCTGTCTTCGTTCCTTTTGGCAGGTAGAAAAACTTGTGAAATATTTGGATCCCAACGACCTGGGGAGGATCAACTTCAAGGACTTTTGCCGGGGAGTGTTCGCCATGAAAGGTGAGGTCAGGCTGGGGACCCGACTCAGCCACCACCGAGGGAGAGGGAGCAGAGTTGGGCTTCCCTGGGGACCGAACGCAGCTGCGGTCACGTAAAACGCAGCAGGCAGGGCTGTGAGAGGCCAGGGAGCCGGCCGGTCATCCCACGGTGGTCAAAGCTCTCAGAGACAAGTTGTAATATTGGGTGACATTTTGTGTCATGAGTTTTTGGGCGACCCAATAGAAAAGTCGGAAATACCCCAGATGCCCAACTATTCAGGTGGTTTGGTAAATTAAGGCTGATCCACAGGCAGAATGATCCCCAGCCGCTGCCGTAGCCCACACACGCCGGGCCGTGTGGAGAGGCGTTTCCGATGTCCTCACTGCCACGTGGGACAGACGCTCCCCACTGTCAGGAATGGCTGGCTCCTTTGGTCCAAACACTTTTGATCAAAACCCAAGGTACAGGTAGAAGAGACAGGTGCCCTGGCTGCCAGCGCTGGCTCAGCAGCCAAACTGAGAAAGAGAACATCTCGGCTGGCTCAGTGGCACAGCAGTAATGCCCTGCCCAAGCAATGCTGGATCCATACGGAAGGTCACAGGTTCAACTCCCCGGCTGACCTAAAGGAGCCATGTATAACCTGGCGGCTGGGGAGCCTGGAAGGCAATGGTGGCGTGAGACCCTGTTGATGGTGCTTGTCTTTCTCTCTTTCTCTCTCACCCTCATGAAAGAAAGAAAGGAAATTTTCAAAAGAAAAGAGAAGTAGAATCTCAGCAACTCCCAGAAACGCCCTGGCGTGCTCTGTCCCTACAGCGTTCTGCAGATGGGCCCACTGTCTTGACCACACCTGCTTGATTTGTGCTCTGATCCTTATTTAATTTGAAATTTTAAATAATTTACACAAGTGTTACATAATATTGTCTCCTTGTTGACCAAGGAGAGTTTGACGTAGTGTTTCAGAACAACAAACTACACATTTTTCTTTTCTTTTCTTTTAGGTTTTTGTTATAGGGCACATGAGCTCACCAGACAGAGACAGAGAGAGAGAGAGAAAGTGAGAAATCGACCCCCTGGGGGATGGCCACATGGCAGTCCCTTCTCCTCCCTTCTTCTCTCAGGAATTTGGGCATGCACGCACGTGCCCAGCATGATTGTCAAGCCACCAGGTCTGGGACTTGAACTGTGGTCAGCCATGTGGGGAGTCCAACACCTTGAACATCATGCCAACCCACTGGCCAACACCCCCCCCCAATTGTTTAAATGTGGTTAAAATGATGTCTTTGGAAAGTTAAGTGGGAGATGGTGGGCTTAGTGCATTGGGGCCATGCCCAGCATTGACTTCGGGTTAAGGATGAAAGGCCCCCGAGGGGCTGGTGTCCTCTGCCTGCAGAAGACAAGCTCTCCCTCTCAGCCTCACCCCACCCTAGCTCCGAGTCTCCTGGTACCCTTGGGTGCCTCACGCCTGTCTTCGTTCCTTTTGGCAGGTAGAAAAACTTGTGAAATATTTGGATCCCAACGACCTGGGGAGGATCAACTTCAAGGACTTTTGCCGGGGAGTGTTCGCCATGAAAGGTGAGGTCAGGCTGGGGACCCGACTCAGCCACCACCGAGGGAGAGGGAGCAGAGTTGGTCTTCCATGGGGACCGACCGCAGCTGAGGTCACGTGGAAGACACTACCTATAGGAGCTGCAGGGAAGGGTCCTGGGCTCCACCGCTGCCCAGCCAGGGGGTGCAGGTCCCTCTGCCACAGCGTCCCACACCATCAGCGGTGGCTGGGCAGCTGGACAGGCGTTTCTGCCCTTCCAACTGTCAGTCTCCCTCTGAGAAAGGCCCCCTCTCTGCGTATCTCTCCTCTTCCCTTTTCTCTCCCTCCCGCTAGGATGGCCAAACTCCCGGGAACTTCCCCCCAGACGTGGAAGGGACTTCCAGGTTCAAACCAGGTTAGCTCAGGGCAAGCCAGGACAGAGCCGTCACCCCGCCTCTGCCTCCCTCGCCCTGTCCAGGTCTCCTGTGTTTGTTTCCTAAGTCCCGCCCCCATGACCTCTCCTAGTTCCTTCCTTTCTTCCCGGCCTCCCCTTAAAGGGGACAATATAAAACTCTTCTCTTTTCCCCCAAATTCAAAGCCGTTGGTGAGAAACCCCATTCTTAGCACTACGCTATGCATCTGAGAAAGTAGCCGAGGTCACCAGCCAGGAGAGCTGACCAAGGCCTCCCCATGTGCTGCCCAGAGAAGGTCCCAAGGCACCCCGTCACCCACAGTGGAAGCCTTGTGTCTGCTGCCTGTGTGGGTCTGATCAGGATGAACCCTCCTCTGGGGGCGCCTGAGTTCTGGGAGGGTGGGGAGGAAGCGGGGTCACCTCAGTTGAAGTGGGCAGGAGAGGCTGGAGGAGCAGCACACAGAAGGCCCCTAGGAAGGGTTCCTGGATGCATTTGCTTGGCTCTTGGGCCCACCCCAACCATGCAGGCCTGTGCTGGGTGCTTTGCAGAATTGTGTGTGTGTGTAACTGCAGGGCATCGGCTCAGGAACCTAGGAGGGAGCCGGCAGGAGGAGAGCCCTGCCAGGGGGGTGGCCCTTCTCTAGATAGGCATTCTGGGGTTTGCAGACTTGGTAAAGGCACTCAGCCTCAGGGAAGTGGGTGTGCCTGGAGGCCCTGTGAGACAGACAGGGAAGAATGGTCTTCTGTCCTTTCCTCCAGGAAGGCCTCTTTGATTCCCTCTGCCCCCAGCCTGTCCTCTACATTTGTGAGTCTGCCCTCCCTACTGGGGGTTAGTCCCACTGAAGAACGTCTCCAGGGCGAGAGCTGGTCTCAGCCCCCTCCTCAGGGCCCTGACCGGGTCCCTACATACTGAGTGCATCATCTTGCCTTCAAATGGTCAGCTGCTCTCGGAGACTCGAGCCACCTGCCTCTCTCTGACCCTTCCCACCTGGGGCTCAGAAGCCAGGCGGCCCTGCCATGCTGAGCACTGACCACCGCTGTCTGTCTGTCCACCTGCCCACAGGGTGTGAGGAGCTGCTGAAGGATGTGCTGTCCATGGAGAGCGCGGGGACGCTGCCGTGCGCGCCCGAGATCCTAGACTACGTGGAGCAGGTAGGACGTGGCCGCCTCAGCCTGGCCTTTGGTCTCGCGCCTTTGTTGTGCCTCCTGCCTACCGGGAGGACCCAGAGCACCCTTCTGAAGATCCTCAGGCCTTGAAGTCAAGAAAGAGTTTGGAGTCCCTTGGGAAGCCACCGCGGAGTGTGTGAGGGGAGGGTGGGGACTCTGCGTGGAGCTTCCCTCCCCGCCCCCAGGCAGACGTGAGTCCCAGATGGGCAAGCGCACACCTGGCAGGCAGGCAGGGCTAGACTGCTTCCCTGTGCTGTGCGATGCTCCGGGCTGACAGGTCCCACGCGGTTTTCTTCCAAACCCTGGCTCATTCTCCAACACAAACTGGGTGTCCAGCAATCGGTTCTCCTGACGCCGGTCACCCAGAGAAGCACAGACCCGAGGTCAGTTCCACATTCCGACCTACTGCGGATGCTGCCCGTACTTCTGCCCAGCCGTTGGCATGTTTGGGTTCGATAATTCACTAGAACAACTCAGGAAAACGTCACTTATTCCTTTATCATGAAGGACACAGCACACAGCACAGGGTCAGCGAGTGAGAGAGGCTCCAGACGGTGCGGGGAGGGGTTGGCTTCGAGTCCTGCTGGGCTCTCCAGGTTCCCACACATCAGCAGGCTCGAGGGTTTTATCACCTAGGCTGCAGTCCCCCTCTTTGCCCTCAAGGTGGGGTAGGTGGGGCTGAAAATTGCCTCCTGTCATCAGGTGTTTGGTCTTTCTAGTGACCAGCCCCACCTTGAAGCTGCCTAGGGCACCCCCTCCCAGAACCACCCTATCAGCATACACTCCGGTGTGGGTGTGGCCCAAAGGAGCTGCAATGAATAAAAGCTGCTCCTAGCAAATTCAAGGGTGCTGGGAGCTTGTGGCAGGAAGCGGGGACAAACACCAAATGTCACACCCCATCCCCGTGGCTCTTACTGGAACTGTTTTCCACTTCCTCGCAGTCTCCCCCTCCAGGAAGCAGTGTCAGGCACTCGTGGACAGACTCCAAGGTCCCTGCTGGCCGCGTCCACGCAGAGCTAGAGGCACTTCAGTTCACCTTCCAGGCCAGCTCCCAAACCGCTCCTCCAGCTGTGATTGGTTTCTCATCTGGACCCAAAAGCACGAGTAGTTTTTTATAGCTGAAAGAGGTCCAGGCCCTTGAGATCATTTTGGGTAGTGGCAGGCTTCTTGAGACCCAGCTGGTGGTGGTGTCAGGCTGGATTCTGTGAACAGGACTCAACAAGAGAGAGTCCGTCTATAGTGTTAGCCCCACAGCCTGGTAGTTAAGGCAGCTGGATCTCACCACGCAGTTCGAATCCCAGCCACGATAGCTTGAAAAAAACATGCCAGGTGCATGCACATGTGTGCCCAGAATCCCAACAGGATGGAGAAATGGAGAATGGAACAAGGCCATTGGGGGGAGGTGCTTTCTCCTCTTACTCTCTTTGACTCTCTGTCTGGTGAGCACACAAGCACTCTGGCAAATTTTTAAAAAGAGAGTCTATGAAGAAAGTTGAAATGCTGGGGGCTGCTACCGTGACCCCCACACTCTGCCATCTACACTGCCAGAGAAGATGGGCGTGAGAAACAGGTGCGCAGAGCTGGGCTCCAAGAGGGTCTTTTTCATAAAGCAGCATTGTCCTCCTCCCACGTTTGGAGGCTCCGGGAAAGCAGCAGGGCTGTCTCAGCGGCCCCAGGCTTCCCTGCCTGCCCTGGCTCTGCAGTTGCACAGGGCTATGTGGCTTTGGTTTTGAGCTCCCACCAGGCCTAGAACAGGCCCCAGCAGGTGGCTCAGCAGGCACGAGCCCAACAAGATGGCATGGGCTGGCGGGCACAGGGTGGCCTTGTTCATGCTCAACAGACACCTGGCTGACCAGGGCTCTGCTCCTCACCTCAGGCTCCCAGGTGCTGAGTAGGTGCTGGGCTGGAGCTGGGCGGGAGCTGGGCGGGAGGGCTCCTATGCCAATTGGGGTCCAAGTGACCCCCTCCCTGACTTGGACTCCTGGAACAGCAAGGCAAGACCACAGCTTCTCAGGTGCGGGGGGGTCACAGGAGACCAGCCTGGGCAGGTCCTCCTCTTGCTGCATCCCGGCCATCCCCTAGGGGTCAGCCTGAGACCGAGATCCAGCAGGACTTGCCTGCCTGCATGGGCTCCCTGCCCTGGGAACGCTCACCAGGGAGTGCTTCAGCCAGAATCCCAACAGGATGGAGAAATGGAGAATGGAACAAGGCCATTGGGGGGAGGTGCTTTCTCCTCTTACTCTCTTTGACTCTCTGTCTGGTGAGCACACAAGCACTCTGGCAAATTTTTAAAAAGAGAGTCTATGAAGAAAGTTGAAATGCTGGGGGCTGCTACCGTGACCCCCACACTCTGCCATCTACACTGCCAGAGAAGATGGGCGTGAGAAACAGGTGCGCAGAGCTGGGCTCCAAGAGGGTCTTTTTCATAAAGCAGCATTGTCCTCCTCCCACGTTTGGAGGCTCCGGGAAAGCAGCAGGGCTGTCTCAGCGGCCCCAGGCTTCCCTGCCTGCCCTGGCTCTGCAGTTGCACAGGGCTATGTGGCTTTGGTTTTGAGCTCCCACCAGGCCTAGAACAGGCCCCAGCAGGTGGCTCAGCAGGCACGAGCCCAACAAGATGGCATGGGCTGGCGGGCACAGGGTGGCCTTGTTCATGCTCAACAGACACCTGGCTGACCAGGGCTCTGCTCCTCACCTCAGGCTCCCAGGTGCTGAGTAGGTGCTGGGCTGGAGCTGGGCGGGAGCTGGGCGGGAGGGCTCCTATGCCAATTGGGGTCCAAGTGACCCCCTCCCTGACTTGGACTCCTGGAACAGCAAGGCAAGACCACAGCTTCTCAGGTGCGGGGGGGTCACAGGAGACCAGCCTGGGCAGGTCCTCCTCTTGCTGCATCCCGGCCATCCCCTAGGGGTCAGCCTGAGACCGAGATCCAGCAGGACTTGCCTGCCTGCATGGGCTCCCTGCCCTGGGAACGCTCACCAGGGAGTGCTTCAGGGAGGGGCAGGAGGAACACACTGATGAGACGGAGCACAGCTCCCACGTGCCTGGTGAGGGAGATGAGGCAGACCCTCGGAGACCCCCTGCCCCTCTGTCCCTCAGGATGGCGAGACCCCTGACATTGCCAGTGTGGGTCACAGGATAGAGAAACGCTTTGGTGCTGGCTGGTACCAAGCTCTGCTCTCCGGCCCGGGAACACCCTGCCAGCTCCCAGGCCCCGTGAGGCCCAGCACTGAGTAGCACCAGGGGCCTCTGGGCCTGCTGTCCAGACCCGTGGGCCAGCACACGTTGGTCCCAAGTGGTGGGTGCCTGTGCTGCCCCAGTCCTGGACCCTGCAGGAGGCCACCCGCCTGTGTCCTCAGAGCCCACAGCCCTGTGGCACAGGAAAACTCCATGGAGGGCTTGGGAGCCCCAGCTGTCAAACAGGCTGTTTTCCCAACCCAGAGAAATTTGAGCCTAGTCGGAGGGGATGCCAGGCGCATGGGAAGGGCTTCCTGGCGTCCATGGATGGCGTCCCTAGGCTGAGGTCTCAGGAGATGCACTGGAGGCCTTCCCGAGACTGGCCTGCTTAAAGGGCTGCCCGCTGGTCTGCCTGTTCACAACCTCTAGTCCGTATGGTGTAGGGACCCCTGTGGGAAGGGGACTTAAGTGACTCCAGGTCTGCTTCACGGTGGCCAGGCTGGGTTCAGCTCCTGACCACCCCCCGGGGCAGCACCCACGCCCAGCATCCTTACCAGCCCCACTGGGGAGGTTTCCGTAGTATTTCTAGGGCTAGCTGTCTAGAGCTGGAATTGCTGTCTCAAAGGGTGTGCAGATTTCCACGTTCAATAGATGCAGACCAGTTTCTCCGAAAAAGACGGACAGATTGTATCTTTCAGTGTTCTGTGAGCGTGCCCATCGGCTCCCGCCCTGGCCAGCCCTGGAAGTCGTTCACCTACCTGCTGGTCTCTGCCCCGTCCTCCCCTCCCTTCTCCTGCCTGCCTGCCTGATGGAGGAGGACCATTGCTTTCCTCTGGGCTGCCCGGCTCACCAGCAAGGCAGGCTGTCAGTTACGTTCCCTGGCACTCTGGCTTTCTGCTTCCATAAGCGACCTATTTCTGTTCTTTGCCCATCTTCAACTGGGTTGTTGGTTTTTTCCTTTATTGATTTATAAGAAATTCTCATGGGGCCAGCAGGCGGCCTAGTGGTTAAGGCACTGGCCTCCCATATAGCTGACCATGAGTCGAGTCCTGGACCTGTAGCTTGCTTTCTCACTCCCTCTCGCTAGCTCTCTCTGGTGAGCACATGTGCCCTGTAGCAAACTTAAAAATAAGAATAATAAATAAATAAATAAATGAAACAGTTTTAAAAGGAAATTCTCATGTATTCTGACTTTCAATCTTCCTACCTTTTGCTTGCATTTGGTATCTTTTGTGAAAAAGTTTGAATGCTATCATCTATCATCCTTCCATGCTGTCTCCATTTTGTATCTTATTTTGTGCCTTTTCTACCTCAAGGCTAGAAAATATATTTTCCTATATATTTTTTCATCTATGCTTAGCTTTTTGATCGCCTTTTCCATTTTTGGTGAAGGCACTGCTCTGGCACCGGTGTTCTCCCTGTGTGGCCGGTGTCCACGTCCCTGTTGAACGGTCCTTATTTCTCCATCCGTTTGACATGTCACCGTTATCGGATATTGGCTTTGCTCCCCAACACAGTCTCTTTCTGGACTCTGGCCTGTTACATCAATCTGTTTGTTCACCCGTTTCTAAGCCCAAACCACGATTTCAGTTACTCTTGTTTGGAGTTTGATATCTATCTGAGTCATGATTTTTTGTTTAAAGCTTTTTTTGTTGGGGCCAGCAGGGGGCATAGTGGCTAAAGCACTGGACTCCCACATGGCTGACTGTGGTTTGAGCCCCGGACGTGGTGATTTGAAAATCACAAGGGCCATGTGTGCTGCATGTTCAAAATCCCACGGTGAGGATGAAAGAGAAGGGACTGCAGTGTGATC